TCTATGTTCAGGCTAAGAACATCCATAATCATCAGTTTATGTCATGGGTCAGCTGCATTGCTCCTGTTCATCCATCCTGAGATTGTTGTGACAGAACAGTGCTACCAAAACAGCATTTGTTGCCTGTCCAGTCTTGACATTATTCTATGGTAGGTCTATCTGCAAGATGCTCATGTAATGACCTTTCCAGCACAACGGTCACGTTCTGGGAGAGGGCAAAAATGCTGCAGGCCATGCCATGAGACAGATCAATAGTCCTGGCAAAACTAGGGGCTGGTAAAAGTAATGTCTCTGCTGGTATACCACAAGCCAAGCCATGTGAAATATACTGGCTACTGCCAGCACTGCAAACAGCTCCTGACAAGGGCTGAAGCGTGAGGCCAGAACGAGCAAGTGTGAGGTTGCTTGCCTGAGTTGCAAGAGAAGGTGACACATGATCTTGTTTTCATTCATTGCCGCACAGATCTTAAAACCATCCTTCTCCGTAAGTGAGGAGGATGCAAGGACAGCTCTCCTCACACTTCTTCGCTTTCAGTATGTTGTCCTGCATCACTCCATGCTGATGACCTCTGGCTTTCAGACAGGTTTGTAAGCACTCCACATAAGAGAGTGTGTTCATGTCCTATGTCCCAAGCACAAAACTATAATGCAGAGATACCATGGCTCCTGTCAGTGTACCCCAGAATCTTTGAAGGCAAAAGTATAAATGTGTCTTGCTCTTTGAAGGCATTTGAGTAAGACAAACCCGTAGGAAGAAGTACTACATATTCTATGGGCTGCCACATACTGACTCCAAGGCATGAACTGGTCTGGAAACCATGGTGCACAAAAGTAATAGCAAAAAATCAACCCTTCACCCATATCCCACTGCCCTTACGTAAGCATCGAATACGAGGTTGGAAGGGATCTCAAGGATCATCTGGTCCAACTTCTCCTGGCAAAAGCACAGTCTATACAAGATGGCCCAGTACCCTGTCCAGCTGAGTGTTAAAAGTACCCAGTGTTAGGGAACCACCACTTCCATGCAGAGGTTACTCCAGTGGCTGATTGTTCTCATTCTGAGATTGTTCTCATTTTCCTCTTCTCTCCAACCAGAACCTCCCCAGGAGTAACTTGTACTCATCACCCCTTGTCTTTTCCATGTGACTCCTTATAAAAAGGGAATCTCCCACCTTCTCTGTAGCCACCCTTTAAATGCTGGAACATAGTGATAAGGTTTCCCCTGAGTCTTCTTTAGTATGAGCCTACCCTATTCTCTCAGCCTTTACTCATACCGGAGGCTTCCCAGTCCTTGAATCATCTCTGTGGCCCTTCTCTGGTCCCTCTCCAGCCTGTCCATATCTTTTTTTTGTACAGTGGGAACTAAAACTGGACACAGTATTCCAGGTGTGGCCTGACAAGCAGAGTGGGATAACGACATCTTTATTTCTGCTGGCTATGCCCTTGATGTCATGTAGCATCCTGTTGGCTTCTTTTGCTGCAGCAGCACACTGTTCATTCAAAGCTTGTTGTCCACCAGGACCCTCAGGTCCCTTTTAAGCTATGATAATGTGGCCTGAACTAGGCAGTTTGGAAGCAGGCCCTCGCAGGATCACAGTGTGAGTGCCACAGACCAGACTGTCATAGCAAGAGGCAGAAGGGCCTTGCTGGAGATGCCAGCCAAGGGTATGGCCTGTTCTACTTTAAAATTTTGGGGCCTCTATACATAATTCTTGTGTATGTTCCACCATTCTGTTCAAAAGTCTCCTGACAGCCAGTACATACACCCTGTCCTAAAGCACAGAGCAGACATTCCATTTTGTATGCTTCTCAGGTGACTGAGGTACCTGCCTTTACAAAAGAGGTCACTCAGAAGCAAATTACATACATCAGTGCTCTCTGCAATAAATGTAGAAAGTTTTATAGCACATTCGATAAAAAATTGGACTTTGATTTGGGTTTTTTATCTCATTTAACTAAAATTTTATGCTTGTGATTTCTTTCTACAATACACAATGCAAATGGAGAAGAAAAATATGGGGAAAAATACATGGCTGGCAGTAAAAAAGAAATAATAAAATGTGCTGCAAGTAAAACAGATTGTCAGCACTTGGTGGTTCTGTATGGCCCTGGGTGGCAGCTAAGCCGCTCCTATGCCTGGAGAAGGAAAAAAGGGAAGGAAAACAAGTCTGTATCACTGTTGCACTTGTGCCGTTTTAGGGATCTTGACGCTGTGGTGTCTGGGGTTACAAGCAGTGATTGGACTGAAGGTTAGCCCTAGTTCCTCAGCTGCCTACATTCTCCAACACTGCTCTTTCCCATAGCCTGGAGGATGTTGTCCTGTAGGCCAGATGACCACCATGATTCATGCATGCCTAGGGATCAGGACCTCTGAGCACAGGATGGCACTGACCACCTCCCAGGCAAAGCCAGAGCAGCCTCTACTGCTCTGCCTTGCAGTCAGCTTCTCAGGTGTGCTGAGAAGCAGAAAGCAATCACAGTGTGGCCACCCCACCTATCTCCAGGTCCTCCCTGCTTCTGAAACACACCTGATGTGGATTCATGCAAGGCGCTGCATTATGTGCTGCTGTCTGAGCAAGGAGATACTCCCTGCACAGAGGCTCCTTCACAGAGAAAGCCTGTGACCTCTCCAAACAACGTTGCTGCAATACTGTCTCCAGCGGTCTAGATCTAACAGTTCATGGCCATACAGAGCCTCAGAAACACTATGTCAGAGCTGTCAGTCAGCTACAATTAATCTTTCCCACAACGCTGCAGAGTGTGACAGTAAACACTCATCTTCGGCTAAGCCCATTTTGAAAAATTACTTGAGGGCAAGATGCTGAAGCACAGACAGGCTGTTTCAAATGGGAGCAGTGAGGCCAGTACCTATGCTGATTCACCTTAGGTTCAGACACAAGGTCACACAGTAGGAGAAATGAGAAAAAAATCAGCATATGCTGTATAATGAGATATTTTTAATAACAAAATTGCTTATTCCCCCGTCTCATTAAGAGAGGTTTATACAGCCAACCTAGAACCTAATGTCCTCCCGCCACAGGTTATCTTTAGCTTGCTTTGGTACTTGGTGATGTGTGTACTACATACTGGAAGTTAACTTCTTTGGTCATTCCCCAAGGAAACACTACACTGAGTAAAGTGAGGGAAGGATAGGAGCCAACACCATTTTTCTTCTCAAAGCAGTGGTGGAAAACTGTCTGGTTCCAATCAATCTGCAAAGAAGTTATGTCAACTGCCACAAACCTTCTGCAGCAAAGGGGCAAGAACGGTCTGGATCAAGGACTGATGCAGTAAGATACGCTATGGAGCTCCTATGCCAGAAACATGGCCTTGCATGCCAGGACAGTAGGTTGGAAGGATGAGGCACCGCCATCAAAACGCACAACTACAGGAAGCGTATTGAGACCACTGGTATAGAAATGGCTCTTCTGTTGTATGCATAATGCTTGCAATTCCAGTGCATTTTGCAACAGCTCTACTACTTCAGAAGTCCATGAGCAACAAGTGTTCAAAATTCATCACCTTAGCCAACTAATGCTGGATTTTCAGCATACAAAATATCACTAGATGGATTAAATGGCAGATTTTGGAGGGTCATTTCCAACATCCCATTTCAGGAACATCCACTATTTAATTTAGTTATTTACTGAGCACTCACCACATAGTCAAATTATTTTTATGTAACCATAGAAAATTTGGGGCCAGACTTCTGTAGACAATTTCTGCAAACATTTCTGAACAAGAGCCACCTGACTACCATGCTTGTAGTAGCATTCCTGTGACACTCAAGAAAGACTTTATCATATCTGTGCAGTACATGTTTTAAGCAGCTTATCAGAGCCACTAGCCTAAAAGCATCCTTAGACATGACAAAAGATGCTGCTGTTTTTACAGTTCATGTACTTAAGTGCAAGAATTGCATAAATGATTAATACCCTTTTTAATACTGCAGCAATCACCTTATTTACCATATCTTTAGACCAGCATCCCAGAACTTCTCCCTCCTAGATCTGCAAGTGTCCTTGAAACACTTGGCCACTGAGTATCTATCCTGTGAAAGTTTTCTCTACTGCTTCTTGACGTGAACTTTCCATATTTAAAAGAATTTCCAAGCTTGCAGAATTCCTATCACAGCGCCTCTAAGTGAAGCACTTGGAAGCAGGTACCTATAAGATATTAGCAAAGCATCAAGATTTATAAAGTGAATTACTTCTTCAATCTGTTTCAAAATAAATAATCCTACTTCAGAGCCCAGCTATGCTATGGTATATGCTCAAAAATTCTGCATAGCTGAGGAATGGAAAGAGTAGTCCAGAAGCACTGTGAAAATTATTTCATTCACAATAAAAATGCTTAGAAAATCCATTAATTTGGGGGGGGTAATAATTTCAGAAAAGATGCATATGACCTATCATTAGGTCAGACATAAGAAAGAAGTTCTTTACTGTCAGGGTGGTAAGGCACTACAAGTTGCCCAAAGAAGTGGTAAAAGCTCCATCCCTGGCTGTGTTCAAGGTCAGAGCGGACAGAGCCTTGGGTGACACGGTTTAGTGTGAGGTGTCCCTGCCCATGGCAGGGGGTTGGAACTGGATGATCTTAAGATCCTTTCCTCCTATCCATTCTATGATTCTATGATCTGCTCTCTCTCTGCGTTTCATTCCGTGTTTAGGAGAGAAAAATATCCGCTGCAGTTCTAGACTCTTTCTTCCACCAACAGAGAACAGAATAGCCTAGAGTTTGGTTTATGTGTCAATTCCAAAAAAAATATTCATACAAATAATTCACATTATTAACCTGAAAAATTATATAACTACAGATACCCAACTTTGGAAATAACTTCTTACCAATGAGAGTATTTGAAAGTGTTCTGATTAACAGTATTTTTATGAATAAGATATTTTTAATAGTGGTTTTAATTTATTATTGATACTTAACTACAGATGTTGGCAGGCAAAATATGTATGAATAATTACATGATGTGTTCAAAAAAACCAGTCATATGTTTCCACTGTGCAGTTTATTCAGTTTCAAATTAGAAAAAATTACTAAGTATTTGACAATTCACATGCAAAAACTTAAACATTTCAGCCCCGAAAAGTATTGATTTCTTTCAGTCTTGTATTAAGGCATTCAGGAGTTTCACCTAGACAAACAAATATCTGGATTTAAAAAAAAACAAAAACAAAAACAAAAACAAAACAATAAAAAGAACCAAAATAGAGAGACAAGCTATAACTCAGTTTTACTTCTGTTAACAAATACGACCACGGTGAGTCCTGGTAATACACAGTTGTATTCTTTATCTTTTCAGTTGTGTGTAGGTGACAGGAGTCAAAGTGATTGGGAGTTATCCTCAGGAAAAAGTTTCTTCAACAGTGTCTTGATTTGGAGTGCTGAATAAGCCATTGTAGTGTTATGTCTGCCAGGATAGATAAAACAAAATGAAAAAACTCAACAGCCTGTTTGCAGAATGTAAAAGGACAACAGAAAACCAGCACGTTAATACAAACAAACAAAACCCCAGAAACCACAGGCTCTCATTTACACCTCATTAAAAATTCAGTATTGAAAACTCCAGGTAAGGGTTTTTTAATCTTGTTGTTTGTTTTTAAATTATGTGCATTTTGTATTCTTGAAATACAATGACTGACATCAAGTTCTCTAACCTACAGATGAAGAACTGTTGGAAAAGCAAAGATTTAAATTTACCATAAAAGGAATGGTAAAATCCAGACTAGAATGAAATGCAGTGTGGGAATAAAGGCAGAAATACACAACCAGAAGTGAAGAGAAGGACAAACATCTGACAAAGCATTAAGAAGCCATTAAGGCAGGTTGTATGAGTCCAAGGTCTCTGAAAGACATACAATACTGGACTCAAATTTGATAGCTGAAATTGGTAACCCTCCTGATACAATCTAATGCATTGGGCTGAAAACAGCAGCAGTTCACAAACTGATTCATGAGCAGTTTAAATGTTTTTTGCCTCAAGGCAGTAACATCTGTCAGGGAGGTAGGAAGAATGCCAGGGGGGAAGCAACAGCTCTAGCCCCAAATTTAAATTTGTTGCCACATCTGTCCAAAATTCCAGACAGCGTTCCATGAATATTCTGGCAGACCAACTTAGGCACCAAGACTGCAGAGAGAAGCACCCCGCAGAATCTAAACCAAAGCTAATAACTATATACTCATCTTCATACAGTTTCTGTCTCTCAGGACACAGTAACTGGCAGTCTTACACCTACACTTCCTGATGAGACCCATTAGCCTGCAATTTGCACTATCATCTCATTCAACTGCAACAACATCAATCAAAAATGCAGCAGAAGACAGCTGCCAGTCTTTTTAACAGCCTAGTAGTTTCATCACTAATAAGCTAAACATTTTCATTCTAGTTTTTCACTATTTTCACTGAAAAACAGTCTTTTGATCTCCCTAGGTTTTTGCCCAACCTCTTTTCAGTTTCTCAAGGTCTTTCTCAAAAGACAGCACACAAGCGCTCCAGTAATGCCCACACAGTTCCAGTCACATGTGATATATATAGTCTGATCCCATCTGTTAGTTCTTCAGGCAAATTGTCAGGAACCAGGTTAGCCTTTCTAGGCACAATGTTACACTGAAAGATACTTGAGTGATTCTCCATTAGGATTTGAGTCTTTTTCATCACCAGTCCCAGGACTTCCACAAGTAAGTGATCAACATCCCTCTGCACTAGCAATCATTCTTTTCACTATTTTCCTATTTGCAAATTTTAGCATGCCTTTTTTGCATGCTTTTCTCCTCCAGGCCATCCATATAAATGAACCAGGATCAAAACCTATTCTCTCCAGGATCCTTTCAGAAATTAAGCTGTTTTTACCAACTTCTAGTCTCAACAGAACTCTTGAGATCCTTCACTGCAGCCTTGCCAACTCAATGAGGATCAAGCACTGCATTTCTAAATCTCAATCACCTTTGCTGCCCTTCACTCATCCTGACTTCAGGATACACTCTTTGAGTCTCCAACAGGACAAAAGCACTAGTCCCTCAGTTTGAGGAACACTGCCATACAGCCACATGCATGTAAGACCCACTTACAAAGTAAAACCACACATGGAACAAAACAATTACAAAATCTTTTAGGTATCAGCTAAGAACTGGAAGGCCTTCATATCCAGTTACTATTTTGTGAGGGATTCAAATACTTTGGGGTTTAGATGTGCTTTTCCAAGGCTCCTGTCAAATTAATTTCTTAACTTCTCATGGAACTAAATAGTTCTTCAAGTGACTTTAAAATTACGCATAATTCGATGTCTAAACAGATACAACTGCATGCAATATTTGCAACAAACTCTTAGAGATCTTCAGTTATATGCTGGAATTAGATATTCAAATCTCATTAACATTTTTAACATCTGAACCAAAGTACAAAAAATATACACTAATGATGCTGTAAAAAAAAAACAACCGAAGCTTACCAATGTTATCCTTCTCTTTACAGGAAATAGAATAGCAGCAGATTTCTCTGTCTTGAATTGCTGAAAGGTTTCTGCAGAAACAGAAACAATAAAATAAGCGGTACTGCAACTCCACAAAAACTGACAACAGAAATTTCCATTAAATTACATGCTTCCTGCTTTTTACTCAGTAGGTTCAAATCTATCCTCAGATATTAAATTTTTAAAATATGCTACTGCACACAAAACCCCTCACATCTCTTTAACTTAGCATTCATCTTCTACTCTTTTCCCCTGGAATACAGTGTTTGTATCTCCAATAACTCTTAATCAAGCAACAGCACTCAAATGAGATGTAGAGTGGAGGCACCAAAAAAGAAAGAGTTTTGAGATCACACAAGAGACTCTAATAAAGAGCTAGTGACCTCCCTGAACTTCAGGAGAGCAGATTTGGCCTCTTCAGGAACCTGCTTGGAAGAGTCCCATGGGATAGGGCCCTGTAGCAAAGAAGGGCTCAAGAAAGCTGGTTAATATTCAAAGATCATCTCCAAACTCAGAAGCAGCCCATCCTAGCAAGTCCAGAAAAAAACAGCCAGGAGGCATAAGTGGATGAACAATGAGCTCCTGGCAAAACCCTGTTATAAAAAGGACACATACAGAAGGTGGAAGCAGGGAGAGGCAACCTAGGAAGAACACAGAAACATTGTCCAAGCATGCAGAGACACAGTTAGGACAGCGAAAGCCCAACTGAAATTGGAGGAATGTCAAAGGCAACACGAACAACTTCTGTAAGTACATAAGCAACAAATGGAAGAGAAAATATGGGCCCACTGCTCAAAGAGACAGGCAACCTGGTTACACAGGACACAGAAAAGGCAGAAGTGCTGAATGCTGCTTTTGCTAGAAAGATTAGCCTTCAGGAATCAGATGTTCCAGAAACCAGAGGGAAAGTCTGGAGCAAGGAAGTTGTACTCTTGACGGAAAATCAGGTCAGGAAATACACAGCAAACCAGACAGAGAGAATTATGTGGGCCCTGGTGGGATATATCTAGGAGGAATGAGGGAGCTGGCTGATGTTCTTGTGAGGCCACTCCTGATAACCTCTGAATGATCATGATGACTGGGAGAGATGCCTCAAGAGTAGAGAAAAGCAAATTGCACTCTTGTCTTCAGAAAAAGCAGGAAGAAGGACCCAGGGAACTACATGACAGTCTGCCTCACCTTGATCTCTGGGAAGGTGATGGAGCAACTAATCCTGGAAACTCTTTCCAGGCATGTGACAGGTCAGGTGGTGATCAGGAGTAGTCAGCATGGATTCACAACGCTTGGCCAACCTGATAACCTTCTACAATGAGATCTACAGCTTGGTAGATGAGGGGAGAGCAGTGTCTGGGAAAGCAGCTTTGCAGAAAGCAAGATGGGTGGGCACCAAGTTGAACATGATCCAGCAATGTGACAAAAAAGGCTAATGGCATCCTGGGTTGCATTAGGAGGAGTGTTGCCAGCAGGTCAAGGAAGGTGATCCTAACCTTCTACTTAGCTCTGGTAAGGTTATAATTGAGTGCTGCATCCACTTCTGAGCTACCCAGTACAAGACTGGTGTGAAGCTGCTGGAGGGAGTCCTGTGAAGGGCCACTAAAATCATTGAGGCAGTGGAGCATCTCATGTATCAGGAAAGGCTAAGAGAACTGGGACTCCAGCATAGAGCAGAAAAGGCTGAGGGGGGATCTTATTAATGTGTACAAATATCTGAAAGAAGGCTGTAAAGATGGAGCCCAGTGACAGGGTAAGAGGCAATGGTTGCAAACTGAAACACAAGAGGCCCCCTCTGAACATAAAGAAATACTTTTTACCTCTGAGGGTGACCGAGCACTAGCACAGGTTGCCCACAGAGGTTGTAAAGTCTCCATGCTTTAAGATACTCAAAAGCTGTCCAGACACAGTCCAGGGCAATCAGCTCTAGATGGCTCTGCTTGAGCAGGTGGGTCGACAAGGAGGCTCCTTCCAACCTTAGCCATTATGTTTCCTAAGTCCTAGTTTAGTTGCTTAGCCTTTGGACCACAGAATTACAGAATGGTTTAGGTTGGAAGGGACCTTAAAGATCGTCTTGTTCCAACTCCCCTGCCATGAGCAGAGACACTTTCTGCTAGACCAGGTTACTCAAAGCCTCACCCAATCTGGCCCTGAACACTGCCAGGCATAGGGCAGCCACAGGTTCTCTGGGCGACCTGTGCCAGTGTCTCACGACCCTTGCAGTAAATAACTTCTTCCTAGTATCCAATTTAAATCTCCCCTCTTTCGGTTTAAAGACATCACCCCGTGTCCTATCACTACATGTCCTTGTAAAAAGTCCCTCTCCAGATTTCTGACAGGCCTCCCCAGCCTTCTATACAACTTTACTGCCTACTAATTAAAATTCTGTGATTTGAGATGCAGAACCCTATTCTGCAAAATTAGTGCTATATTGGCCATTTTTACAAAATTGTGTATTTCCTTTATAATCACCCTTGCAATGCATCAATTTAAGTTAGTTTCAGTAATTCATACGTATATGCTTTGGATATGAGCCCAAAATATTTGAATTGCTTACATTTACAGGCAGTAGTTTGAAATGACTGTTCTAATGCCATATGAGCATTACTGAGCAATGTACTCTGAAAAGTGTAAGTAAGCCTATTGCTATGTATAGCAGCTGTATCTTCAGTGATGGGAAAACAGGATTATCTGAAACAACTTTATACAAATGAAATAATAATCAAGAGAGGTTCAAATCTACTGCAGTCAGTTATCAGCCTAGATTGCTATTTCAGTTGCCAGGAGAGCTTGAGTATCTGAGAATGTAAAATGGAATCCATTATAGCTGGTTATTGCCATATACTACTAGTGATTTTCTCTTACATATCAAATTTCACAGTGCTGCAGCTTTTTACAGCTACTTACAATTTCTCAATTAACTGCTTTTCATCCAGTGCACCTGGGAGGTCTCTTTTATTTCCAAGGACTAACACCTGAAAGAAATCATTCATATGCATGTTAAAGTCAAGAGCAATGAAAGTTTATTTTTGTCTTTAAGCATTTGTTTGCATTATTTTGGATCTTGCATCTAAGTAGTTCTGCAACAGCACACATTCAAAATGACTAATGACTGTGGAAGCATCATGGAAATCCTGCTCCTCATCCAGGTCAGATACTGTATGCACACCCTCTGGATCCAATTATTTCTGGCTGTATCAGTACCAGAAGTCTTCTCTGGAAGCGAATCTCCTTTCTGAATGGCATTATGGGATGGTGTCAGATTGAATGCAACTAAACTTTGCAGAGAGCATGCCCTGGGTGCACTCAACCAACAACAGACATTCAATTCACAAGACCAGACTAATGTTAATCAAAAGTAGGACCCCAGCAATAGATGCTGGGTCCTCGAGACCCAGGCAGGATTCTCTCTAGAGAATCTTAACACTGACATACTAAACAGTCAGGCAACCAAACCCTGTATCATCAAAGCACCAGCAATATGACTGATTACTTGCCCTCCACTTCGAGCATTCATGGTAGAAATCAGAAAGGCAGCCATTTGGAATTAAGTCTGAGAAATGCAGAAAAATTACTGAATAGGTGTCAGAACTTAAAAGTTGCTACAAAATGCTTAAGGCTTCAAGTATAAATTAAGGTCAGATAAATGGGTTGAGCACACTGTAAGATAAAGTAAGCAACGGAAGGCTTTTCTAATTATGATTGCATTATCGTTTTCCAGATGTGTTACAATTCTGAGTCAAGACTGTCCCACTATTTTCCATGAATCTGGAACACATTAAAACTCATTACTTGCAGACTCAGATTAATAAAGCTACTTTAAAATCTATAATGCTAAAGCCTGCATACAATAAATTGGAGGAAGTTCAATACTAGTTAATATCTATGAAATAGAACTAAGTAAAAAACACATTACTGCATCTTGGAAATTACTGTGCTGGTAAGGCTGGGCAATTGGAATGTGATATTATAACATATAAAAGGAAAGGAACTTAATTAAATACTTCTGAAGATACAAAAGACCTATCATTTCAGGAAGGAAAAGTGAGAAGTAAAACAGGATGTGAAGACAGCACAAAGGACAATGTCACTCACCATGAATAGCGTGACTATAGACTTCTGCAGGATATATTCAATATACACTTAGCATACAGAAACACAACAGTAACAGCAAGCCTTATAAAAATTATTAAGAGTCACTTGAAAAATTCTTTTTCAAGGATGGATGTGCAAGAACCTTTTTCTCACAATGATTTCATGTTGGCTGGCTGTCTACTCATTCTCAGTTGACTTTAATCACATGCAGTGGCCAAATCTCCCAATATTTGCTTACAAAAAAGGGGCCAAGCAGCAGTCATCAAGTTGTACCTTCTTCCTGATTTGTATGTACCATTGTCTTCCTTCTTATAATCAAAGCTACAAACACTTGCTTGGTGATATCAGCAAAGATTAGTGCTAACCTGATGGATTCCTTCTAGTCTAAACTGGCAGATTATATTTAATTAATCAGCTAGTTTCCAACTTCATAGTTCCTCACTAGAAGTTCAGCAGAATATACTATTCTTTGACACTTCCTGTTGGAGAACAGATGTATATTTGCATTTTTTTCCACATGGTTTGAAAAACTAAACAGTCAAGAAAAAGTCGAGACACTTAAAAAGTCAAACTCCTCCACAGTCTCTGGAAGCAGATGACATTATCTAATGCATCTGCCAACCTTCAGAAAGACAAACCTCATATGCCTTAAGATACTGCCAGAAATATATCTGGGTCACTGGTTCAAACCCAGCCAAGAAGGGGCCTGACTGGAAGTAATTACTGTCCAATAATGCCACATATGAAAATGATTTTTTCCCAAATCTATTCCGACCTTTAGAAAAGAAAACCTACAACCACACTGCAGCACTGATAAGATGGCTTAGATGACTGAAAAAATATCACAATAATTTTTGTAACAGCACTCAATACATCCAGGCTAATATTTTTAAGAGTCTAGAAGAACCAATTCATGAGGATTTAGGCTACATTGTCTACATTCAGGTAAGAATAATAATCAAAACACTTACTGGAATTCCATGCAATTGTGGTTTATCTATCAAACTGTGTAGCTCATTCTTTGAAGCTTCTACTTTTTCTAAGTCTGCTGCATCCACCATGTAACTGCAATGGGAATATAGTTATTTATGATAGTGACCATTCCCTGAAGAAAGCTGCATTAAAACATCTGAAATTTGACAAGTATGGTTGCATTCACAATAGCATTAGAACAGTCCAAAGTTGTATAAGGCCTGGATTTATTAAAACACAAGGATACAGAATCAAATACACGCCATGGGGAAAAAATGGCCTGGAACACGCTATTACTAATGCATCTGGGTTGCTGGATGTGTAAAACACACTACTTTTATCATGTTGGGTCTTCCTATGTGACAGACGTGGACAAAAAGAAAAGCATAGTTATAGAAATAATACATATTTTAAAATATATTTTGTATAGGCATACAGAAGAAAACTTACACAACTGCATTGACTCCTCTGCAGTAACGCTCCCACATACTTCGAAACCTTGGCTGCCCTCCAATGTCCCATACCTGGAAAAGGTAAGAACACCTCAACCCCACAATGTTTTTGAACTACACAGTAGTAACAGCAGAACTCTTACATGCAGCAGGCTGATTGCATTGACAATGCCTAGATGAAGGCAGTCTCCCAAGCGACCTTCCTCGAGAGACTGGTCTTCTCAGCCCCTTCCAGACAATGGAGTGGGACAGGCACATTCACAGGGCAAGTCAGTCCTGTGACAATAGCAGCTCCAAATATCCATTTAGAGAATGCTGCCCTTCCCACTCCAAGAAAAGTTTTCCTCAGATACCAAAGTGAATTATTGCAAATACACAGTTCAAAACCCAGAAAGAATAGTACCATTGTATGAAAACAGTTATGAAGTTGCATTTTTTATGGGTTTAGGGAGACCTATAAAATATTAAGTAAATAAAGATATTAAGTAAAGAGTTGGTCAGAGAGCAAATTAAATCCACGAAAAGGATAATATACTCTAGGGTGCTATGATATCTCCACAGATCTCACATTTGTTCATCAAATGTGCTTTAAAAGACACATGGATTAACTGACCAGAACCAGAAAGGAAACAATAGTATATGGTAGGTCTGAAAGATTAATCAGTGAATCTTAAGAAAGCTCAAATTCTGCTTGAGATTTTATAAAGCTTCAATCCTGCAATATTTAAGCATGCTATTGGTATCAGGCAATCCTACTGAATCCTTTATGGTTAAAAGGCTAACACATTATCTATCTGTACAGGAGTTACTTATTCTCCTTTGCTTGCAGAAAATCAGTATTTTGGGTTTCAAAACTACTTCCAAGATCAAAATACCAGGGAAAGGATTTAAACTAGGCAGGCAAGGGCTACATGATTATGTAGACAGTTGTTTTACTAGTGGCACACCTATCAAAATAGTGATGAACACTGAAAAATAAAAGGAAATGAACTGTTCATACATTAATGATAAAGATAAGTAATCATTTCCTATTTTAATCAGATTTAGCTAGGAAAACATTATGTACCATACAGCAGATCTAGGAGGCATATCCACTACAGTACAAACTAAATTTGGAAGTAACATACACAGAAGCAAAATTTTCTTAAGAGTTGTTTCCATATTTCTACTTTATAAATCCATACATATTAAACCTGCTGTGACAACAAAGACTTGCACAAAGACTTAATAGACTCTTGGGATAAGACCTTTTTCAACTAAAATTGTGGACTATATTTTTAATTCCACAATTCATAAGTCATATTTAGGTGTTAATTTCTCTATCATTTTCAACACCTTATGTTTGTATTTTAGAAAGAAGTATTTCCCAGTTCACCATTAAAATCATTTCCTGACTGCTCTTACTGTTCCTTCTGGCATAAAATTAGTATGTCACCTAAATGTAGACTGCCTCTGATCCCCTTTATAAGATCAAGAATTTTACGTATGAAAGAGGTTTGAGTGAACTTCTGACCATGAACTTCTGACCATGAACTGGGTATCAAATACTAACTGCACTGACATTTAAAGTGCTATTTTAAAAGTACTAATAAAATAAACCTTTTATTTTAAAAACTTGAGTACACAGTTCATTATGATAGATGACAAACCTCACACCAACACTATACCAATAACTCATCAGGACCTTGAAACTATCAGTAACCATCTGCTGCACATCCGGGTGTCTGGAAAAAGAAACTAAATTATTTTCTTGGTAGATTAGAGAAGAAAGAAGGGGAAAGAGGACAGGGAAGGCCAGTAGTAAGATTAGATTCTTGGAGACTGATGACAATTATTCCTGTTAGCCACAAAAATCTACAAGATGATGTAGCCTGGACCAACCACACCATAAATAATATAAGACAGAAAAATACTGGTTTTGTCCTTGTTTGATGATATACTGTATTTCTACTACATTAAATTGCAATATTTATACTACATTAAATTGCAAGTATGATTATCATTAGCAGAAAAAGTCACCTCAAAACAATGGAAAGGTAAGTCATTTCCAGCCAGTTTCCCTAAAAAGGCTTACAGCTATTCGTTAAAGTACAACATGGAGGACACCACATAGACTAGGTGTTTTTAACAGTGCTTGGGAACCCAGTTTACCTTAATATATTAAATGACAATAATCTGAAAAAGGAAAAAAATAAATGCATGAAATAAATTTTAAACAATTTTCACCTCTTTGCCTATGAAATTATGATGGCTACAGTAACAACTTTCTAATCCTCTTTCTTACATTGCATAACTAGCGACAGAGTTGACTAATTTATTCAAAACACAAATCTCTGCCTGAAACCATTTCCACTGTTCATCACAGAACAGCCAGAACTGTGAGAATACAAGTGGCACCCAGGAAGGAAGGGGGAGAGTCCTTAATGTTAAAGCTTGTGTGCACCTTTCATGTTTTGTAAATCACCTGTTTTTGTATCTCAGTATTTAATACACAGGTAAAAGTATATTCTGGGTGTGAACTGGGAAAGGCACGTGACTACACCTTAAAAGCAGAATAAACAGCTACAAAAATAAGTTTATTTTGTCTGGGTGTTTTTTTAAAAGAGACATGACTTCAAATTTCTCCCATGGCTTTCATTGGTTCCTCGGCAATAAGATTTTTATAATGTTTAAGAGGCAATTTTATCCCTAGAAGATCAGATGATTTTAAGAATCAGAAAATACCTACAGAATGACAAAACTAAAGAGAGAAAAAGTTTCCTTAATACCCAGCCCCACTGTCTCACAGGAAATTAAGATATCAAGTTGTTGCCGTTTAGGCTCAGCCTCAAAGGCATACATCTCATTTCTACTGCATTTTGTCAACAATTATTGTTCCTGTCTGTTCCTATAAAGTAGTACCTCTAATTGTGCTTGCAGGTCTACACTATCATAAAATAATGCAATGTTTTAATTTTTAAACTAGATTAATCACCATACTTTGGAATCATCATTTACCTTAGTGTTTATACATACTTGTTAAATCAAATTCTCCTAAAACAGAAATCTCTCTGGATATGTCTCTTCAATTTATTTCTGTGGCTAGAAGGCTCCTTCTTAAGACCACACCTACCAAGTACACTGAGGAGCAAATCCTTCTCCTTTGTACAGAGATGTATCATGACAGTTGAGCAAAAACGCAGTTGGGGAATAGGTTCAAAGGTTTCTGAAGGCTTTCAGTTACAGGGAGGCTCATTAAAAGTCTATTTGTGTTTCTGCTAATCAGCTTATATTGTGGGAAGGCTTGTCGGTTAATCAGACAGTTTCAGGAAAAACTATTTTCTAGATGTCAGTTCACATAGCTTTTTTCAGCCATGCTGGGTAGGTATTTCTTATGGGCAGAGATGTGTACAACGACATGTATCTCAATGTCACTGCATGGGTTCAGTACCCAGGATCTCATGGCAGTCAGTGAAGACTAGACAGCCATTCAGCTGACCAGAAGCAACATCTTTGTTAGGATGACAAAATTACGCTCTAGGCTTGACAGTACTGACTAGAGCTCCTCTGACTACTGTTAAAGGAGCTTAACCCTCACTGCAGATGTATAGCTATTTACATTCAGACATCTTTATTTACAAGATGAATCCAACACTACAAATACTTGGAACTCACAAATGTATCTTTCTGCTTGGAAGTATTCAGAAAATATCAGCCATAAAACTTAACCTGAACAAAGAAGTGAGGAAATTCTAATGATTGCATCTGTCTTACCTTGCCTACTAGATGAAGCATTCCTGCAAAGCACCCACTGCTCTCCACTGAGTTCAGATAATCTGGCTCAGGCTGGCATTCTCCTCTTTCAACTGGCTAAATTCCAGGGAGACAAACCTGAAACAGTCATTTATACTAGACTAGAGTCTTCAATCAGTAATGTTCAGCTTCCTCATCTAATAAAGGGAAAAAATAAAAAGCTAAACCAAATAACCCTAAATTTTTTAATAAATTGCCTTGTGGACACATAACTCTAGAGCCTTACTAGGAGTACCAGCCATGTAACCTATTATGGAAGCTAGAATACCTTACTACCTTAGAATACTTACCATCCACCTACTACCCTGTATTTCAGAAATGCCTTTACAGTTGCTCTTAAAGCTGAAAAAAAAAAAAAAAAAAAAAAAAGCCACATGGCTACGTTTTCTGTGGGCAATTGTTCCCAGAATACCGTGTTCTTTGAAATCAGTCTTGGTCCTTTAAGAACCCTGTTGTTACTCCTCACTGGTGATAAAGCCCTAGTTTTAAGCATTTTTTTTTTCAACTGGGTATTTTATTTTAGTAGCATCAGACAGCAAAAAATAAAAACCAAACAAACCCCTATATGCATGTTTCACATCTTATAATTCGTTAATTTAATCATAGCACTTTCACTGAAGAACTGGAAATAGACTTCGACTTGCAACACAAAATGGTTGAATATCTTCAACTCCTGAGAACAAGCACAGAGGCATTTTTAATGGGAAGGGGTATTTCTCAATGATCAGGGTGTATTTGACATTTTATCAGACATACAAGATACAATGTTGGAAGGATCAACATGTGGACTTTAAACAGGACACAAAAGCAAAGTCTGTTCTCAGAAACTGCTTTTTGAACCTCATGCTGCTTACTTCCATGTTGTGTTCTAAGGCAGGAGAGTTCCAGGGAATGCAGCTTTAGAGGGAAGACTGTAATCCTCTCAATCAAGATGTAGCACACATCTAAGCAGAAGAGGCAACCCATCCTACCCTCAATATTGTGTTGTCCCTAAAGCAGAAAGCCTTAATTCTGCATGACCATGTGCAGTCCTTTGTACCCTCTTTTCACATAGTCTACAGACACCGAAATCCAAGATATTCTGGTGAAAGTAGGCATGTAAGTTATAGGCAGAACTTGCACTTGGAAGACTGATGGCAATGAGACCAGAAGCAAGGACTCTGATATCTCAAAAGAGATGATCAATACTAATGTAGTGATTACTTTTTCACAGCATATACACTGTTGCACATCTTCCTGACTTTTCTGTGCTGTTGAGCAAATAGTAATTTTTGTTTTCA